AAAACGGTAAATAATGCAGAGATAATTTTTTTTTCACTTGAATCTAGGAAAACCATGACGAATTCATAATATATTTAGTAAAATTTTTAAATGCACGCAACAGATGATGTGATTTAGTACCACGAGTCCTATTTAAATTATAAGAGAATGTTAATTCAATGCTGATACAAGTAAAAAGATAGTCTTCCCAATATTAAAAAAAAACGAAAGTTTCTTAGAAAACAGACCAATAGGTTGAAAATCTCTTGAGAAATTTTTGTTAAAATGTCCTTTTGTGAAAAGGTCTATATATTCTGAGAAAGGAAGCTTCAATGCATCATCCTATGATGAAAATCAATTTCCGTTACTTTTCGAAAAAATGAATTTCGCTGAAGGAGGAGGCTTTTAAGCTATTACATGATCGAAAGTAAAATTCAATAACCAAGAAAAAGCTCTGCAAAATATTGTTAAATGAACAATTGAACAATTAGTTAGTGAGCGCTGTCATGATAAAGATACACTTGAAATTATTCAATTAAAAAATATGAAACATATTAATGGATTATTACGAGTAAGACAATCCGATTCCTACTAATTTATTCCTTTTTCACATGCATACGAGACTGTGACATCAACTCCTAAAGCTGGAAAATATCATAGCAGCCACATTATTGTTAATCTAAGTCATAATAAAAATAGAGTGTGGGGCGAGTCTTTTCTTCATTGACACCCACACACACCCACACACTCCAGGCGTTTAAGAATCACAAGCAACGGTTAGAATAGTTCCAGTAAGAAGTGAAATTAAAATGCACTACTTTTTGCAGGATGACGCTTCTTGTGAGTACCATCAACTCCACTTAATCCCATCGAGTGGTATGTAATTTAAATCTTCTCTAGAATTCTCCATATCAGTCCAACAATAATCATTATTTGACATAACGAAATAGATATGAAATTGTTTCAGTTTCAATTGATTTTCTAATACGCGATCAATGAATTGGCATAAATCACGGTAACTGCACCAATTCGCTTTAATTGACCAATTGTTCACGTTAGATGTTACATCATCAGTTGTATTTATGTAACCGAATCGGAGACAAATAAATTTTACTTTATTGCCATTAGTTGATGAATATTGCCTCGCTAAATCTTCGCCATAGATTTTACTATTACAATATGCTTCAACGGATGGATTAAAATGTGATGGTACGGTTGGATCATTTATTGTTATCTTCGCTAACGGTTGCTGAGGTTGAATATTTTTTGCTAATGATAAGTAAGGTTCGTTTTCCAAATAACCAAAAACAGTCATGGCTGAACTGCCATAGATCACCATTTCAACAAGATTTTGTTCTGTTGCTATATCGAATATAATCTTTGTGCCATTACAATTAATACGTTCAATTTGTTCAACTGTTTCCGTTTCTAAAACCGCTGCTAAATGAATTATAATCTGAATTTTATTGTCTCGAATAATGCGCGAAAGTTCATCTTTATCCAAGATATCACATATGAAAAATTTGTCTTTCATGGGTAATATTGGTTGTAGGTCTTTCGACGATGGCGTATTTTCAAGTTGATAACGTATCGATAGTGCAACATGTCTATCGATACCATAAATATCATAATTGGAGTTTTTGGACAGATGTTGAATTAGGATGCCACCGACGAGACCAGATACACCAGTAATAAGAATCTTTTTAGTCATTGTTAATATTCGAAAGCAATGAGAAAAGTGTTTATTAGAAAAGATGAAATGTGTGTGCACGTCGTCCTTATCAGATTGTTATATTTGCAGATAGCAGATCAAAGGTAAACTACATCAAGGCCGAAACTCGAACAGAATTTTATCTTTATCAAGTTGCATTTCATTCGACACAGGTCGAAGCTTCTAAGCCATTGATGTGCTTTGACATATTTTCAAACAGAATTCGATTTGGGTATGGATGTAGGCGTCGATGTGAGTGTGGATGTTTGTTATTTCATTCAAACCCACACCCACACCCTTGCATGATGATGAAGGAAAACCTCACGCAAATATATTTGGATTAGAAAATTCTCACAATAGTAGCGAAATCGTTTTTCAATGCTTTCTGTTCTAAAGCTTGTGTAATCCCTCTCAAATATTTTTAATGATATTCATTTGTGTACTCTCACACTAGATACTATGCTCTTTTTAACAAAAAACAACTGAAATCCCTGCATGGTTCCATCACAGCAATCCATGAAAAAAAACAAAATTAATGCAAAACTTTTGCTCCAACAATTGAGTTTCCTTCTTTTTTTGGAAATTGAAGTATCAAGTGATAAAAAATGTTGTCCTATACTTTATTTCTTTTTCTCGAGAAATTAGAACAAGGCGACGATGACAAAGAGAACTATTCTGACAATATACGAATACTCAGAAAGAGTTTATAGAAGTACTTGCTTGACACCAACGTGATTGTCGATACTGAAACTCTCTATTTAAAATGTTTCTTATAAGTAGAATTTATAAAAAATACATAATTTACATATCATGTTAGTTTAAAAGCGTATGCGGGTGCTAAGAGATATAATTCGTTTATCGCTCAAAAACTTTTATAGTCAACTCTTTCGTAGTTTTCAAAAAGTCAAAACAATTTTATAACTATTATACTACATAAGTCATGGTCGTCGAAATATGCTCTTTTAAATTTCAGCTCTCGGTTACCTAAGAAAAATGACCTTTCTATCAATTCGTTTTCGAGTACATTTGAGTCTCACGTTTATCCAAGAACACTTGCAATATGCGTTATTATCGATAATTCATTTTATGATGCTCATAATACTATCGAAAATAACAAAAATTTATTAAGATGTTAAAATTTATTTATTTTTTTGTATAAAACTGAAATATTTCGATTTGAATAAAAGAAAAAAATTAATCGAGAATTATTTCACGGATTATAACAATACATAAACGATATCTATCATAACGAGTCGTTGTCGTATACTATGACGAATATAAATACGTCTTTTTTCATTTTTCTCCGTTCCCAATCGGTCTTATACAAGGTATAACAATATTATAGGTCGCCCTTTTATTTTCGAAATTTTTCAATAAAAACGGATAGCCAGGTCAAATCTAAACAGTGATTTGGATAGCCCTTGAAATTCTCTATCGAATATAATATCGACCAAAATTTCAGAAAAAAACCTTTGTGAAGAGATTTTTCCAGAAAACTGGTTCACTGGAGTTTCAAATGTTAGAAAAGTTTGATACAAATATTTTTAAGTATAGTCATCTGAAAGAGCAAAATATCCTGAGCAAAATGAGCAATCGCCCAGCTCTCCACAATGGTTTGTTAGAAAGTTATGGGCACCAGAAAATCTGAAAAAACACTTTTCGGCGATTTTTGCCTGTTTTTTTTTGATAAATTGTGCATTTTTGTCCGTTTCTGATGGATATAAGTTTGCAACAAAACATCGTGAAAAGCAGGGCGATCCCACATTTTGCTCAAAATGTTTTGTTCTTTCAGATGACTGTATTTAAAAATAGTTAGATCAAATTTTTCTAAGACTTGAAATTCCAGTGAACCGATTGTACGAGAAAAGTCTTTTTGTAAAGGTTTTTTTTTCAAAATTTTGGTCCATACTATATTCAATAGAGAATTTCAAGGGCTATCCGAATCACTATTTAGATTTGACCTGGCTGTGCGTTTTTTGTTGAAAAATTTCGAAAATAAAAGTGGACCTATGATTTTGTTATACTCTGTATATTTTTTCAGGTGTATAGAAAGGTATTAATTTTCCTAATGTAAGTCGCATTTCGTCAACTAATCGACACCAATTTGATGTTAATGTACCGACATGTAAATCTGCATTAGCTTCAATAAATAAATCAGTAAGAAATTCTAATACAATTTTCCCACGTTGTTGTCTTGTCATACGAGTTAATGACTCAAAAACAACATTTCTTGGTAATGTTAGATATAATAATTTATAATAACCTTGTTTTTCTTTATTTATTTCAATAAATTCATTGAATACTTTTTCATCTTCAGAATTAATATAAATCGTTGATATATTCGCTTGTCGAGCATGACCATCAAATAAATCAAAATATTGTTTAAGTGTATATGCTCGAGACATTTCTTTATTTTTAACTTTATCTGATCGACGTACATAAACAGCAATATAAGGATGATGAAGATCGATTGAAGATGGTTGAAATTGTTTTGATATGGCATTCAGTACATGAGCTAATGTTTCAGGTTTATATCGAATTAAATAAAATAA